CAGAAGTCCTGACCCTCGTTAAGAGATGCCTTAGGAATCAAGGCATTTTTTCCCTATAGCACAATATAGTTAAGTGGTATCTGGCAAGGTCCTGAAGTTCTCAGGTTGTCGTTTTTGCAAAAAAGTTCTAAAACCTGGATTAAATATCCCATTTTTAATATTGGGAACCATTAAAACATTTCTTAAAAACACACTGTAGAGGCAAACAGAATATCTGCAGTGTTCTCCTAAAATGAAAGGATTGGACTAAAGAAGCTCTAAGACCTTATCCAGCTCCAGTAATGGCTGAGGTGGTGTTTTGTGATTAGCGACGAGTTTGCTTTAGGATAACATCAAATTTCTCCATGCAAAACGAGACCCCAAGAGGCAGCTTCCCTTGTGATGCGGCCAGAAAAGGTGGCTGTCTCACCGAAGCTCCCTGCCTCTGTCCTCTCTTCTCTCCCAAAGCACATCACTTCTATGCAGTTTCTAAACATTTAAGACAGATGCGATACAACACACGAAATGGGCCACGCACAGCTCCTCCCAGGAGCTTTCCCAGGTCGTCGGCGCCGTATTTCGGTTTCCTTGTCGCGTCCCCGGGGCCGACATGGCCCACGGCTGAAGGCGCAGTACGTGCATGGAAAGTTTAAGTTCCCAGGAATATACCACTCGAGGTCCTCCTTCAATAAGAATAATTGTGAGGTACAAATTCCACCATAGATTTATATTAAACACCGGCTATCACAAAAAAAACTTTAGATCATTAGCTATAACCATCCAAGAATAATAAGCCAGATAAATATTATTTCTACATGTTGTACATTTAAGACCTGTTCCCAGCAGCCGGCTCACATTTTTTCGGAGAACACTTGGCTACGCCGTAACTCAAAACCTCCCCGTACTTCTCGGCAGATACATCCTCTGTGAAAAGCAAGATTCCTGGGCCCGAAAGGAGGAGTTGACAGAGGGCTGAGTGCAAAAATAAAGATAAATTAAATGAGTTCTAAAAGCAGATGTGGAAAGTGCTGGGTTCTCCAAAGGCGCCTGTTTCCTTTGGACCTGGGGACTAACACGTGCTCTCACCGACGGGGCTCCCGAGGTAAGTAGCTTCACGACGGGCACGCTCCTCCACGGCACTGTGACATCCGCCTGCCTTGTGGTGTGTAATATCATCTTTCGTTTCTTGTTTTTTAACTGTATTTCATTGTTCATGCTTTTAGCGTTGTCCCAATTTTTCTCCCTTTGCACTCGTCTACCTAGCCCTGCCCACTCCCTCAGGTGATCCCCACACCGTTGTCCAAGTCCACAGATCCTGCACATATGTCTTTGGCTATTCTAGTCCCTGTGCCGTACTAATAGCATTTTTTAATGCCATCTTGACCCAGGGGTTAGGCTCTGGGGCTCTGATACTGCAGGCCATGACATGCCCACCCTAATCACCCAGAGCCAGGTAACACACAGCCAGGGACTGCCCTCAACCCCAGAGCCCACTGAAATTATTCCAACTAGCCAGTCCTAAACCTGCTTCCTCCACATCACCATGGAAACCACAACAAAGGTGCCGCCTCATGAGGACTCTGTGCCCCTCCTGGGTAGCATGCTGTGTTCTCCCCAGCAACCTGTGACTTACAAAACTAAAACTCTTTCCAGTTTCTCTTGATCTGCATCTAAGGTAATGTGGTCAAAATACAGTTGGGCAAATAGAGAGGCAATCCAAAGGTCATCCTTGATTGCAAATGTCTACTGGCAGCCAGCAGCTGATCACAACCTACAAAAAACCTACATGAGAAACTTTCCAAAGTCAGGAAGGGGTGATTCAACATGTGGCCTAGGAAAAATGATAGTTTCCTTGTATAAAAACACAAAAGTCACACCCCAAGAAATCTGTCATTTACAGCCCTCAGAAGGTACTTTCCTGGTATGAGTTTCGGTCAAACACATCAAGATGTGCTGATGTTTGCACTGGTTACCCTGAGTCTTCCGAGACTTAGCTGAAGTGGGGCAGGCATGCAAGTGCACCTCCCTGTGTGGAAAACAGGATGCCTTGTCGCAGAGTGAATGGGAGTGAGCACGTGCTCATTTCCCCGGTAACACATGGTAAATCTTCTGACCTCCAATAAATGGACACTGCCGCCAGGTGATGGCCACAGAAACTCGGAGTCCCCTCACACGTTAGGAAGAGTTGTCCACAATAAGGCCTTTTCTGCACAGCCAGAACAGCAGCAGGTAGTTGACAGGCTCTCCCCTGGTTGTGCGTGGGTGTTCCAACTCTTAAACATTTGGTAATTGCCTTTGGCACCTTTCCGGTACAGATTGGAACACTGCAAATTAATAAGACACTGCAAGCTTAATGATAAGCATTCACTAAGGTAGAGAGCCTAGCTGAAGTACTTCATGTCAATACCATCTTTCATTCCCAGGAAGGACAATTCACACAATTCACCATTTAGGACCTTGTGCAGACAGTATGCTTATTCTGCCCTCTGTGCAACCAACCATTCCCTCAGCAGCAGGGAGGCCCTCACTACTCCAACCAGGCCACCACATGGCTGCCTTCTAGAAGGACTTCTCAGTTGGGCTGAGTTTTTTCTTCCTAATTCCCTCTATGACAGGCATTGGTGACCCTCAGGTCTAAAGCCACGCTTTATTCGCTTGCAGCTTCCCCTTAAAGTCCAGGAAACCAAATACAGCAGGTCCTGGAGTAACACTTTCATTCAGCAGCATTTTGTTATAACATTGAGATGTCATAGGAATGTTACTCTTGTTTATGTCAATCATCTATGGTACAACTGGTTTTGATACATCATTTCATCATAGTTCCAAGAGCCTATAGACACATTAAGTGAGGACTTACTATACTCACTCTGCCAGCCTCCCTTGCAGCTACAATGGTCATGTGGCCCAGTTTTAATCCATGGAAGGTCTGCAGGGTCTTGTCAAATTCTGACAAGAATTTGACCTTCTTGATAAAAGGAGACTGACCACAGCTGGCAGAGTCCTCCCTGTCACACCAGCCTTGAATGTAGCTATTAACACTAATGATTACTCAATAAAAATAAACATATACACTCCTAGATAAGGGGCAGAAAAACACGTATCAGGGGTGTCCAACCTGCAACCCACGTGGCTCAGGATGGCTATGAATGCAACCCAACACAAAATCATAAATTTACTTAAAACATGGAATTTTTCTGTGATTATGTGTTGCAATGTATTTAATGTGTGGCCCAAGGCAACCCTTCTTCTTCCACTGTGGCCCAAAAATGCCAAAAGTTTGAACACCCCTGAAGATGGTTTTAATATTAATTATATAGAGGTGCATGTGAGTGCACACTCACACAAGCATTCACTGGAGTAGATTTCTCTTTGTAAAGTTAAAGCATACTTTAAACATAACAAAAATATATTTGTTGTTCATGTGGACCCACTATTCAGGATTAGGCCATTTTAGGTATATGTCCTTCAATGTGGTTCAACTTACGAACATCCACATTAGAGGTGACCCGGACAATAAACAGGAAGAAGCTCTCCCACCCTGACTCCTGTGTTTTCCCCCATTTGAGGTGTTGGACAGTGTGAACGGAATATGAGGCTGAGAAGGTTGGCACTGTCTCTTTAGACACAGAGGCAGTTGCGTTGGAAGGCAACGCGGCAGGACAAAGCTTCTGGTTAATCTGTCTACACACACCAGGAAAGCTTCCATATAAATGTTTTAATCATCCTGAGGATAGAAATAACAAAACTCACCAACAGAGCCTCTCTGACAACCTGCAGTGAGGGTCTATCACACACCCAGGGGAAAACTGCAGGTTGAGAAGGGAGATGACTCCTCCGCCTCATGCACAGCACGGACTAAAAACCGGAGGCAGAGGAACACTCTCTCACATACACAGTTGGCAGACAACGAACACTGACTTGAAAATATATCCTTAAAAAATTTTTTTATGAACAGTAAGTTTCCTCTTTTGCTTTTGCCTTTTGTTACAGTGGCTCTCCAGGAGCAGAGAAAAGGGAGGACTCGAAGTTCAACGTGCCAAATAACAACACAGAACACGAGGAAACGTCTCAGGGTAAAACACAACAGGAACTGTAGCAGACCGTTTCATTTTGCCTGTCTCCAACTAGCCATGGGCACTTGACACTAAATCACACGTGTCCTGTATTTTTCCCTCACTGGGGGAAAGGAGCTAGGGAGTTGCGGGCACGCATGCAGGAGCGGGGACAGGACCTTCCTCAGCTGTGACGTGCCCCGGCCCGGGCCAGCCCCTGTTCCACCACACACTAGAGAAACTGACTTTATGAGGCAAACGTTCCACCTCTGAGGCTCAGATTGTTCAGCTACAAAGTGGAGATATTAAATTATATCAAATTTCCCCTTTTATACATCAAAACTGTTGATAGCAGTGATTTCACAGGGTTCAACCTAATAATTCCTGCCCCGTTGTTCATAGGATTTTTAATAGGATCAAATAAAGTGAGTATGTATATAAAGGTGCACAAAAAAAAAAACCTATAACTATGAAAAGAGCATTAACTTTATGAACTGGAACAGTAGGCAGTGCTTCAAACTCCACAGGTGCATTGCTTTATAAAAAATAAACTTGTGGAGGTAGATATCAGAATCATTCTTTGCACTGCAAGTTCCTGACTGCACCTCCTGAGTCAGGAACAGAAGGACCGGTCCGGTGGGGAACAGGCACTCCTGACACACGTTCCCAGTGATAACTCAAGTTGGAGAAACTACTTTTCCCAGAAATAAGTTAGCCTCTTTGGTTTGGGGTGGCTCTCTACTGAAATGCAGGCTTTACCCAAGCCCACTTTAGTATGCCCCTTCCCTCACCTCGCTAATGGCTAAAAATTGGTAAAACCTAATGTCATCTTTTTCTACCAGGTGGTTTTATCACCTTACTGCTTGATCAAATTTCTTGTAAAAAGCTCTGAGCATTGAACTTCCTGGAGAGGACCCCAGACCTCCCCAGCTGCAGGGGCTGGCCACCCCACGGCCTTCTGTCACTTACCCCTCAGGATGTAGTTCTGGTAGTTCTGGTCCGCCTCGGCTCCCACCTTGATCAAACAGGTCAGACCTTCAGCCACCACAAATTCATGCACCAAATCCTTGTCATCCTGGCAGGAGAGGGGAAGAAAAAGGAAAGAGACTTCAAATGCTGTCGAGGTCCATCCTCCATCCCGACTGTGCTGTTAAAACAACGATGCACAAGCCTTTGAAGCCAGACCAACCCCTAAAGATCGTTCTGCTCCATTCAAATGAAGCATCTCAACTGTTGCCAGAGGAATTTTACAACCAGTCTTCACAGTGTTGTTTGCCAAAGACCAATTATTGCCTTCTGGGCAATCTAATAAAGATAAAGCAAACAAATCTCCTGACTGTCAGGAATATTTATAGTGTTCTGTTTCTCATTCTTCAAAAATCGCCAGGCCCTGCCTCTCCCACCCCCCAAGGTCCCTAGGGACAGGCCCCGTGAAGCTCTCTAAGCTTTAACAACAGGAAACATTCCAAAGCAGCACAGACCATCAAGTGAAGGACCCAAAGCCCCTTGTGTGTTCCAAAAGATGGTCCCTAAGGACGGTTGTTCCAAAGGTCTTGGAAATGGTACCAGAGTGTAAGGAAGCAGCATCTCCACCCCGAGGCAAGTGCTGGCTGGACAAGCGGGAGGCAGAGCACAGATCCCGGGGAGTGCCTGCAGCAGCACGCTGCCCCCAGAAAGAGCCACTTTGGTCGATTGGCCTGCAGACCTGATCACAGGAAGCAGGACATGGGAGGCACCTCAAGCGGCAAGAGTGACACCCGGGAACTTGTTAAAAATGCAAACACCTGACACACCCCTGACTTCCTAGATAGGAAAACCTATAGTGGGACCCAGTGACCTGGGCTTACCAAGCCCTTCAGGTGATTCAGACATGTGCTCAGATGGGCCTTAGCCACCCACGTGACGCGGAGGTGTTCAGGTAGGCTTTGGCCCTGCCTCCTTCATGTGAGGATCACCTGGGAGCTTTAAAAAGGAATACGAAGCAGGACCCTTCCAGGGTCAACTTAATCAGAATTTCTGGGAGCAAGACCCAATCTTTGCTATTAAATTTTCCAGGAAAGCCTAAAGGCCACCAGTTCAAGAACCACTGATGTAATCCTACCTTCTCTTTACAGATAAAGGCTGAAGAGTGACCAACTTCGGCCAAGATCTCCTGTGTCCAACCAGCCCCCAAGTGCACTCATGTTCCTTTGGTTCCCCTTCTGTGGACATCTAGGAGAGGGATTTTTCTACTACTGCCTCAGGAGATGCCCTCACTGGGACAGTACCTTGTCTCCAGCGCAACCGGGATAAGGCAGGGACATGCCTCTTCAATTATAACAACGGAGCAAAAATAAAAAACCTCAGTGATGTAAATAGTAGAAAGCTTAATGGAATAATGAAAGGTTATTCTTATAGGAATGGTCAGCAACCATGGTTTATCTCCAAAAGAGAAAAAATAATTTAGATGAACTGGCATAATTCTCCAGTCTCTATGTTAAATCAGCCCCTCATTTTGATTTTATGGCATTTTCCAATTATATGGATGGAGGACTTGAGCTAAATGTGGGCAGGCTCAGCAGAGGCTCCCTTTGAACCCAGAACTCGCCCTCACTGTTCCGAGGGCACTGGAGGGGGGGGGGTGCGGAGGGGGGGACGAGCGAGGCCTGTGCCCTGGAGGTAATGAGAGACAGCTGTGTTAACTCAGACTTGAAGATAATCATGGCTTTGGAAAGCAAGAGAAAATGGGACAATATCATGAGTTTTTGGAAAATTACTTTACACTCATATGTATAAAGGAAATAAAAAATAATTCTCTCTCCATCCATATCCTTTTCCACCAGCATATGTGAAAAGTGAACATTTAGATGAGCTCATGTCTAGTCAGAAAGTTTTTCCAAGCATGTAACAAATGTTTATTACTTTAACTAAAACTAGATTCACACATGACTTCATGGTGAAAAAGTGAGAACAAGCTCTCAAGAAACCACTCAAGCTAATCACTAATATTAATATAGCGTAGAGTTGACTGACTGCCTGGCAATGGTGCTCAAGAAAATCTCTGGGCACAGGAGACAGTGTTTAGAAAAATAATTCAGAACCCTAACTAAAATGTATGCACAAATGTAGATAAGGCAGATTCTGTTAGGAAACAGAAATTTATGGGTAATAAATGTAAACAATATTTTCCAAATTGGCAGTGTACTAAAATATATAGACACTAACAAACGGTTCTTGAAACATGGGTTTCTGACTAGAATGAAATCGAAATGTCAATGTTAACCAATAAATGATTATTGCTGCATTTCAGAATTTTCTATAATAGCCATGCATTAATCTGTGATCATTTTTTAATGCTGATTAGTCAAGGAATGTTCAGTTCAATCTAAATGACCAATGGCTCTGGTTTTTCATTGCTGGTGTGTTTTATTCCACACCCCTCTCCGCCACCTTGCCCCTTACAAGCCTGGTTCCAAAAAAAACCTCCACATCGGAAAACACAGAGATGCCGGAGAGGCAGGGTCAAGGTGTAAGAAGGAATCTAGGTCCCAGACAGCTTGCAGCTTGGTAACCCATCCCACCCCCAATGCATCCCTACTGGGTGGTTCACAGCTACTCGACGCATGCGTGGGTGGTCTTCAGGACAGGGTATAAACTTCTGATAGCAAGCACCGTCTTCCTTGCCTACGGAGTGTGGGCTAAGACTTCTCAAATATATGTTTGATGAATAAGCAATCGAAATAGAGTCCCTGAGAATTCAGAGAGCCAATGCTACAGAACACGTTTGGTGAGAGGATGCGCAGCAAGACCCAAAACATGTTTGTTTTATTTTTTAATGTTTTCCCCATGGAAAACTTTAAACATACACAAAAGAGACAGAATAACTCAGCAAACCCCTGGTGCCAATCAACTCACACCAATCCTGTTTCAGCTGTCATCCCCCCGTCTGCTGTCATGTTAGTTTGAAGCCAAGCCCAGACATCACATCATGTAATCCATAAGTATTTCAATATGTATCTCCAAAGTAGGGACTCTTCTTAAAAGTATGTACGCAAACTTAAAATTCATACTTTCTTATATTATCAAGTGTCCAGTCAGTGATCACATTTCAGTCTCATAAATACCGTTTCCTTACAATTTGTCTTAAGATCCAAATAAGATCCACATGTGGCAATTAGTTGACATAACTTTTAAATGTCTTTTAATTCTTTTTCTTTCCCTTGAAAGTTATGTGTTGAAGAAACTAGGTCACGTGCCCCACAGTCTGGGTTCTGTTGAGTGTGCTCCTGTGGTGCAGTTCAACGTGGACTTCCGTCCAAGGTCACGTATACATGGGTTATTGCTTACAGAGGCATGATCAGACCCAGGCTGGGTTTCATTGGCTGGACTTCATCATTGACCGTGGTGTGTGTTTCCACAAGGACACACATAATAGCTGGTTGTATCTCATTTCTGTCACATCAGCAGCTCTTGGTGCTCAGGACCTACATCCACTAATTCATCAGGGGTTGCAAGACCATGATATTCTAATTCTAACACTCCTTAGCTAGAATTTTTTATATACAAAACTTCACCTCAACTACTGTTTGATTATCCTACACTTCACATTAGAGGCAAGATAAATAGGGATTCTAAAACAGGGGTGTCAAACTCATTTTCACCAGGGGCCACATCAGCCTCATGGTTGCCTTCAAAGGGCCGAATGTAATTTTAGGACTGTATAAATGTAACCACTCCTTAACTAGGGGCAAGGAGCTCAGCACGGCCACTGGGTATAAACAAGGTGCCAGGCCAGATAAAACAAGGTAGAGGACTGGATTCAACCTGCGGGCCTTGTGTTTGCCACTTGTGTTCTAAAAGTTTACCCACTTTCAAAATAAGGTGCTGGATATTAGTATGCTCCAATGATGAGCAATCTGTTGGGTTTATTTTTTTTTCTAGTATCATGATGAACTCATTAATACAAATAGTTGATGTGTTTCAGTTCATTGCCATTATCATCCATATTGATGCTTATATTGGCCCATCTTTGGCCAGCCAGTGGGACACTCTTCAACATGCTTTTCAGTTCTTTTGGCAATAATCCCAGTAGTGTTTGATAGCTTCCTTGCTATCTCTATATGAGGTGACAAGTTTATTTTTCCCATTTCCTACTCCAAACTTAGAATCAGCTATTTCTCCAAAGAGCTCTGGTTCCTTTCAATATTTTAAGACCACAATCTTGCTGCCTTTGATGCATTTTGCTAATGGTTTGATCATTGCTTCTAGTCCTTTTCCATAAACAGAGCTAGAAATATGCTTATTTCCTTGTTTGTTAAAATAATGTACAACATGAGTTCAGCCTCATTCTTCTAATTCAGGAATACAGTTTTTAACTTAACCTCTTGTACCTTTCTATCTTCTTTCTCCCGCACACCAAGAATCCTAATCTCTGAGAACTCTAAGAATGACAAAATTGCAATAACACACACACGCATACCCACCCAAACATACACGCAGTCTCGGAATAGCAATCCCAACACTACCGCCACCAACATGATTATTGTAAACATGTAAACAGTTCATTTGTGTGTGTGTGTGTGGTTTCAGATGCACAAATTACAGTGTTTTAAAGTCACTTAGAATAGTGCTTCTCTGTGTGGTTCTGCCACCCACTGCATACTCAATGAGGTGAACACAGGGTTTGAAAGTAGGCAAAGCTGACCACCAGAAGCAGCAGGCAGAAGGACTAAATGAGTTAGGGTGAGGAGCATCATGGGCATGGCTCTCTGGTGGCACAGCGACAGTCCAGCACTCCTGCAGTAAGGGATCCAAGTTAGAGAGGAGGACGTAATAAAGGGTGAAGAAGTTGAGTTTTGTTCACCTAAGGAACAGGGATACACAGATGGATACGTGGCAAGTAGAACTTTGGGACAAGTAATTAGCCATGAAGCACTGACTAAATTAGAGACAGGGAGGACTGGAGACAGACATTTGGTAGACCATTTGGTCCACCCAGCCCATTATCTGTTGCTTTAGTGGCACCGGGTACTGTGCAAGGCCCCAAAGACCCAGCAGTAGAACCCAACGATCTCCCAGGTAACTAGACTCAACAAGCGCCCAGATGTTTCCTAAGTTTTATACTTGATATAAGCTGTACATGACAGAGGACATCAGAAGTATTTGGAGGGACCATGACTGCGGTGATGGGTCATTTACTTAAGGGAAAGGCTCTTTGACAAAAGGACAGACAGAGTAGGAGGGAAATGGAGAGACAAGAAGAGTGCATATGGGGTGGCAATGCATTCTGGGATAAAAGGATAGGCCCAGGGGCAGAGGTGCAGAAGAGAAGGCACAGCTTGCTCCTGGAATGCAATCATGGGCGGAACTTACGATGCAGCCAAGGACAGCAAGGTGTGCATGGAAGACAGACCCAGAAGGGCCTGAATGCTATACTGAGAAATCCAGAAGTAATCCAGAAGGCTATGAGGAACCAGCAAGAGAATGGCTTCCTCAAACCCTTCTGGTGGGAAGTAGATAAATGGACTGAGCTGGGAGGACCAGAGGCAGGCAGTGCCCATGGACAGCTGTCGTCATTTCCCCAGAAGAAACAGCCTGACCAAGGAACACCCCAATCCCCAGGGGGATTTTCCTGAGATGTGCACCCCGAGAGCAGTGACATGACAGGTGTACACTGAGACGAACTGACACTGAAGGGGGACTGTGGGTAAAAGCATAAGGGTGTGGCTGAATGAGTCTGAGGAAGAACAGGAGGAGATCACATGGATGGGACAGATCATTGGCCCGCCTTTTTGTCTACTCCCTCTTTGACAGGAGGACACTCATGAAGGGGACTGCCATTCTAGCTAAAATGATCACTGGCAAAATAATCTTTTATCACATGGGTAAGACAGGAACCAAAGAGAGGTGGACTTTACCCTAGAGTCCAAAATCATAAAGGACAGATGATAAACCCATAGAGACACAGGTCAGTGCCAATGCCATCTCCTCCATGAAACCATCTCCGGATCCTGCCCAGGCCTAGCAGCCTCATTGTCCTCCCCTGGCATCGTCTTTCTCCTCTGCCCTGTCACATGGGTGACAGCCCTGGAGCTCATCTGCACACCTGTCCCAGCTCTCTTCACTAAGCTTGTGACTTCATCAGGGCAGAGACCTAGGGAAGGCTCAGGGGAGAAGGACGAGAGGGGTGTAGAGACACTGGCACATGAACAGGGGGCACATCATGGCCATGGGGTTTATTACAGCAAAACAATGGAAATGGGCCAAACCGTCTGCCAACAGAAGAATGAACAAAGCAACTTGTCCTTCACTCATACAACACGAGATATTCACTCAGAGCTGCGCCAGGCTACCTACACCATCCCACTCTCAACAAGTAAGACGGAGTATGGTCTGTGTGCCGTGATAACATAGAAATATAATTAATATAGCAGAATACAACATTGCTGGCAAAGAGTTACCATTAGTCAGGAAACACGCATGTGCACGGTAACATTTAACAATCAGCAGATAGAGACCTGGGGTGGGGCAGGGAGAAGATGGTTGGTACTCAGGATCAGAACACCAGACTTCAATTAATTTGTGGTAGGTTTTTCTTTATAAAATTCTAAAGTAAGTATGGAAAAATATGACTTAATAAAGTTGTCTTTACTTATTATGTTTGAAATAGTTGATGTGGTAAAAACAGTCTCAACTGGTATTTTGACCTAAGTTACAGTATCATCTAATGAGACCTTTCTGTAATCAATAAAAGGTATAACCTTGTCCCTATCTCATTCCACAGCAATACAGAAACAGAACCGAAGAACAGTTTTTTCCTCTCTTACCTGAAATATCTGCTTCAGGGAGAAAAGGGCCCTTCTTAAATCTCGTCCACTAGAGTTGTACAGCTTTTCTGAAATAAAGAAGCAACACATAAAGTTAATTAAATGGACTCAACAGATGGTAAAAACACAGAGAGGATCTGAACAATCACAGAACCTCCACTCGAGAGATGAGTACACCAAACCCATTTCATTTAGGATTCAGGTCTCGCCTCCAGCAGTGTAAAAAATAACCTGGGCCATTACAGGGGGCAGGCAGTGTGGGGGGGAGCAGGTGAGTTATAGACAATGATGCCCTGGTTTGCACCCTCAGCCACCACCCTCCCTCTCTCCAGATCTCTGTGGCCAGCTATTCACAGACCATGACACTTGATGGTGCACTATACCCGAAACATTGACACAGCTAAAGCAGAGTCCACCTCCCACCACCCTTCCCCCTTGGCTCACGGGCGCTGTGCCACCACACTCTCTGCGGCTGGGCTGAGGAAGCTTTGCAGAGCCTCCCTTTCCGTGGGGTCTGAGGGCCACCTTGAGTGACCCAAGGGAGGCACAGTGGCTCTGAGGTCTGACTGGCTCCTTCAATGACAGGAACCCATCCTCGCCTCTGGTTGTACTTGAGCCCTCACTCAAGGATGGGCCTGACTTGGAGCAAGGCAGACGGAGGAGCCCTGGCTCAATACTCTCTGGCTCAAGGCTCCTGCCAGCTGATACAACCCCGCTATTCCGTGGGTCACATTTAACACTTACTAGTTAGGCCAGGCCTGTGTGACTCACGAGGTGAACTTGACCCAGGACCGTCCTCCAGCAGTCACAATGCAGCAGGATAAACAGATGAGCAATCCACAATTACTAGTTGGCTCACAAAGTGCTGAGGGCACATGGGAGGAAGGGAAAAGCCCAGTTCTCCTGGTGTGTGCGGGACGCCTGGGCGCATGGATTTGGCTCAGCTTCCCAGAACCCAAGTGCGGCCCTGACTCAGGTGGCTTGGGGGCCTAGGGTTGGGGTTCTGACACAGAGTGGTACACTGCCCCATTATAAATCAGCCAGCACACTTCCTGAGCACCTGCCAGACACACTATTCTCAGCACTGGGGGTACAGTGATGAAGAGTGCACTGAAGTAACAGCAAAGACTAGGCAATCAGACGGCCTGCATTTCAAAGTGAGTGTCACCACCTACTAGGTATATGACCATGGACCAGCACTTCACCACTCTAAGCCTTGGATTACCCATCTGTAAAATCTGAATAGAGGAAAATGGTTTTTGTATTACATCAAATACTGATGTGATGGAGTGGAATGCAAAATTATTTTGAATATTTAGATGGAATATAAAAGTTCAGAGCAATGCCATGCTGGTAGCCAGCCACCCTCTGTGGGGTGATGGGCAAAGCCATAGGTGAGTGGCATGGACTTGAGTGGAAGGGCATCGAACATGCAGATCTAAAAGAGTCGGCATAGTCTGGTTAGGGGGAGGATATGCCCACTTTGCACAGTGCCTCTGGAAGTGAACGAAGTCCCATATGAAAGATCCGACATCACAGAATGTAGGTGGTGCTCAGCATACACATGGCGAGGTGTTCTCAAAGACAGCATCATGGACACTTTTCCTTCTTCCCATCCACTCTCCAGACCAAGGCTAGAAGGACTGGATGAAAATGACGCCATGATTATGTCACTGCTCCCATTTAAACCCTTCAGTGGCTGCTGGCTGCACTGAGAATGAACACCAAAATCCTCTGCATGGCCCATCCAGTCCCTGGCCATGCAGCCCTGGGCCTGCCCCCTCTGTGCGGCAGACTCTCTGGTGTTCACTCCATGCCTTGGGCAGGCTGGCCCCTCCGGACTCACAGTGTACACACAGCTGGTGAGTGGCAGGTGCAGGATGCTGAGGGGGGTGGTGTCTCCCCAAAAGCCCTCCTTAATGTTGAACCACCATGGAATCCACCACCTCTAAATACAATATACAGCCCTTATTAATGATGAAGTTTCAATTAAGAAAGAATGTATTGCCTTCCTGATAACAAGCAGCTGAGAAAACTCCAAAGGAATCAATCACCCAAAAGCTGAACATCCAATTCATTGTGGACCCTAAGGAAGGAGGCCTGAGGGACTCAAGCCCACTCCGAAAGTCCATGCATGGCCTTGAAATACATGAGTAATAAGTAAATGGAGTGAACTACATGCACCCCTGTCAGAACCCAAGATTCCAGGGATGATCGCTTCTTCCAGTTTCCAGGGCTAACATCTCAGAATTCTCAAATCTCAGAGAAACACGGTTTTGGCTAGTAGCACTACTCATTTATGAGAATAAAGCTGTCAGGAGCAAGCATGGGGCTACATATACCCTGAAAAAGACAGGCAGATTTTTCTTTTGCAGGAAGAACATTACTGGGGGAGAGCATCTTTGTATAAGGCTACAAGGCTTGCATTAGGCTTTCTTGCTGTGTACCACCAGACACACAGAAATCTGTCTTAAATGGATTCGTAATATCACCTTTAGTTCCTAGCACTCTGTCATGGCTTCTGATTCATGGGAATGATGGTTAATTGTGTTCTGATTGTTAAGGTTCTAGTACTTGGTGCTATAGTTGAAACAATTGGTTTTTAAAAACAGGATTAAGTATTATTAGAAAATAAAAAGCTGAGAATGACTTAACATTTCATGAGGGGTTTTGCATCTATATTCATGAGGAATATTGATCGGTAGTTTTCTTGCAATGAGGTTGACATTGAGTCAATGCCGACCTCAAATTGGAAGCATTCCCTGCTTTTCCACTTTCAGAAGGAGTTTGTGTAGACTTGGTATCATTTCCTCCTTCAACGTCTGGCAGAATTCCACAGTGAAGCCACCTGGGCCTGGAATGTTTTGTTGTTGTTGGAGGTTTTCAACTATAAATTCAATTTCTTCAGTCAAGATAGGGCTTTTCCAATTATCTTTTTTTTTTCTTTAATGAGCTTTGGTAATTTGTGTCTTTCAAAGAATTTCTCTATTTCACCCAAGTTATTAAATGTACAGGCACAGAGCTGTTCACACTATTCCCTACCATCCTTTTTACTGACTGCAGCAATTTCTTCTTTTATCTCTGATATTGGTAATCTGTGTCTTTTTTCCTTTTCACTTGGTCATTTTGGCTAGAGATGTATCAATTTTATTGATCTTTTCAAAGGATCAGCTTTTGATTTCACTGTTTTTTCTATTGCTTTTCTGACTTCTAGTTCACTGATTATTTTCCCCCCTCTGCTTGCTTCTGGCTTAATTTGTCCTTTTTCTGAGTTTCCTGAGATGGAAACTTAAATAATTGATTTAGACCTTCCTTCTTTTCTAATATAATACTTAACGCTATAAATTTCTAAGCACCACTTTAGCTACATTCCACAAATTTTGATATATTGTGTTTTCATTTTCATTTGGCTCAAAATTAAATGAATGTTGAATATTTCATTCACTTCAAGAGGGAATAACTTCATCTTGTGACTTTTTTCGAACTATGATTTATTTAGAAGTACTGTGTTGCTTAACTTCCAAATATTTGGGAATTTTCCAGATAAGTCTTTTTTTATTGTTGTTCAAGTACAGTGGTCTCCATTTTCCCGCCACCACTTCCCCCCCAATGCCCCAATCCTACTCCCCTTTGGCTTTGTCCCTGGGTCCTTTATACATGCTCCTTGACGACCCTTCCCCTCCTTTCCCCCGTTACCTCCTTCCCCTTCCCCTCCCCTCTGGTTACTGTTAATTTGTTCCTTATTTCAATGTCTCTGGTTATATCCAGATATCTTTCTGTTACTGATTTTTTGGTTTAATTTCTCTATTGCTAAGAATATATACCTTATATATCAACTATTTAAATTTGTTAAGGTCGATCTTATGACCCAGATTTTTTTTTATCTTGGAGAATGTCTAATGTATACATAAAAATAAATGTATATTCTACCATTACTGAGTGGAGTGTTCCGTAAATACCCAGTAGGTCAAGTTCAGTGATAGCGTTATTAAGGTCTTCTATCCTTACTGAATTTCTGTTTACCCATTCTAGATTTTACTGTGAGAGGAGTGTTAAAATCAACTATTATGGTGGATATGCCTATTTCTTCTTTCAGTTTTATGAGTTTTGCTTTAGGCCCTTTGAAGTTCTGTCATTAGGTGCACTCACAATTACGGTTGCTGTGGTTTTCAGGTGAATTGACCTTTGTCATATGTAATGTCTGTCTTCATCCCTGGCACTATTCCTTGTTTTAAAACCCACTTTTCTAATATTTTCGAATACTAACATGGTCAGTTAGTATGTGGTTAGTGTTTTCAGAGTGTATCTTTTTCCATCCTTTTATATTTAACCTATCTATGTAGAGTTTCTTGTAGATATGGTTGCAACTTGTTTTAATCCCACCTGACGGTGTCTATCTTTTGACTGGTCTGTGTGCACTGTTTTAATGCCTGTGACATCACAAACTACGCCTCTGTGGCACTGAGCAGAAGGCCCTCAGGGAGAGCTGACAGTGCTGCCCCCCTTGATGAGAAAAGACCTTGTACAAATGCTAACAATATCTTTGAGGGGAACCAAAAGACTCTCCCCCTTCTTTTTTGCCATGATTTCAAATTAAAACAAACTAGAATTTCTACTCTTGGAGTAAGTACTTTGCATTCCAATTCTCTTTAATTAAAAAAAAATACTTCGTATTCACCCTGGCCAGGTGGCTGGATTGGTCGGAGTGTCATTCTGTTGATTCAAAAGGTTGTGGGTTCGATCCCCAGTCAGAGCACATACTTAGGTTGTGGGTTTGATCCCTGGTCAGGATGCATACAGGAGGCAACCAATCAATGTTTCTCAATAGATTCTCTCTCTCTCTCCCCACTTCCTCTCCTTTTCTCTAAAATCAATGAAATATATCTTTAGGTGAGGTAAAAAGATACTTATTATTCATTATTTAAATAATTGTTTATTCTAAACAATGATGAATAAAATAGTTTGGTTCCCAAATAATAACTATTTCTTTTATGCAAGAAAATTATCACTACAGACCTGAGAGATTCACAAATTTTAATGCAGTTTTGTTTTTTTAATATCAAAGCTT